TTGCCGGTCTGACAATCTGTACGGTACGGTACCCTTGCTGTTCAAATGGAGTAAGATTTGTGCCTTTTCCGAAGCCACATATTGACTGCCAAAAAGAAATGAGGTGGGTAAAGGAATGCAACAGGCCTCGCAGCATATTCAATCTAGGAAAAATCACCAGAAATACCTTCGTGTGTACCAAGGCCAACATAAATATTGTTTTCGATACCTATGATATATTCAATATGTTAATTCTTATATGAAATAAATTTTCATACAAGCAATGCGTTCCATCATGCATTTTCATGGAGGCGATGGACCAACTGATGAATACCCTGACACTATATCAGATTCTTGTCGCCCAACAGAAAAGCACCATCGAATTGTGAGGTAAAGAATAAGGATTACCTATACCATAATTTAACTTTGGATCATAATTTCACAGGATCTGTCACCAGATACTTCATTTGATACAGAGACATGTAAATCTGACGAAAGTGAGAAAGGATTGTCAGGGATCCAACCAGATCTGCCCCCAGACCCTTTAGTTGAAACTACCTCAAGTGTCGCTGATGAAAAAGACAGCAGAAAAATGTAAGCAAGCATCATCATCATTTTGTTTTAGTTCTCTGGCATAAAACAACACAAAAAGTCAACATACAAACAAAATGCAGAGAAAAGTGGAAGTCGAGCATAACTTAAAATAGATTTCAAAAAGTACGCGACTACCTACCAGAAAAAGAAATAATATTAATAAAAGGGCACGAAAGAATTAACAAGATTCAGAATTGGAACTGCAACTGCAAAGTCAAACCAAGCTGCTCCTGATACCAGAAGTTGGCTCTGCACTTGGTAGTATCTGTAGTGTGTGATAAATATCCTTATTTTGTTAGGTTGTTTTGCATTTATCACTGTCATATAAATCACAACTTGTTCATAATCACCTGGTAAATCTTAGAACCGAACCAAATGGTGGGTGTTTGGACATCTGACTATGGGCTGACTATATAACAATGAGGTAGTGCCCAGTGAGAGCTATTCTTCCATATTTATTATCAGGGGATGAAACTAGGCAGCTTTAATAAAATAACTCAGACGCTCCATTGCTTTCATGTTTTTTGTTTGTAGTGCCCAAAAGCATATATCTAGCGTGTATTTTTATCCTATACAACACAATATCTGCAAAACTATATAATTTGTAGTAATTTTCTTGGATTTACTTGCTTGTTCCTTCATCATATATTTTCTATAATCTGTTATATTCTATTTCTACACTGAATGAATAAACTATATTGTAAAACCTATCACATAACCGACTGTTTTTGGTTGAACTGGAACTATGGCTCGATCTAACTTTGTGGGATTAGCACCAGCTACAAACGACAACTGTTGGATCTATTTTGTTCCCTCCATATAGGTTGTTACCAATGCTGGGGAAGGCTTGTACATGCTTGCTTGGCTCAGCAGAAAATCTTTTAATTCTCTCAATTTCATCTGTTGGATAGTCTTGGTTAGTCCATTTAAACCATGGATATCACTATAACATTATTGGTCTTGTAATTTTATGTGGTATGTAATCGATCATAATACCTCAATAAACCTGTTGAATCTAATCTTTCAATAGTATATTTGCACCCATCTTACTGAGCTAATAAATCTGTGTTTCTATGATACGACATAAACCCAAGTGCCCTCACTGTGCCTAGCATGTACAAATTGCATCAGAGACTTGGTGACTATCCAGCGACACCACTATTTGAGGATGATGTGGTGGCAGAGACTCCTGAACTTATCTAACGCACTTGGCTTTGAAATCTAACGTTGAACCAAGATTGACGACTAAAACATCATGAATGTACCGGTATCTGAAAAAAATATTCACCTGTTCAGAATTACAGATTTCTGTAGTTTGTGCAATGTTTCCAAGAATGTATCTAAAAGACTTTTTAAACTGCCCCTGCATTTCATTTGTTCCTATACTAAACCCACCAATTCAGCCCTAACTTGGACGCTATCTATCAGTCTATGAACTATGGGATAAGGTACCGGTAGTCACGCAGGTCTCCCAGTTCTATCACCGCCCTCTGAGATTCTTCAACCATATAAGTTTAAATATCACCTTTCAATGAAAAGTTTTGTATCCTTCTCTTGCTGGGGGAAAGAAAAGTTCTTGGAGAACCAAGTCATAGAAAAGTCATCTTTGAGTGATTCCATTTTTGTATGTTAAATGAGCTTTTAGAACTAAGTTAGGTACGTAACGGCAATGTGAAGGCGGAATAACGTTGATAATAGATCACTTGACAATATGTTATAACTTTAGAAGCACGAAAATACCGCTATCACCAGTGAAATGCCATTCGAAGGCCTTTAAAACGAGCAACGTACCACTCTATCGCCCTACACAAGCCTGAATATTTGCAATGTTTGTCTGAGCGACCAAAATCATAACAATAAAGGTCAAAGGTCGGGGAAAGGTCCTAGTGTTGTTTCCCGCCTAAAAATTGCAACCGGCGAATTGATGGACTATTGGCGGGAAATGCGAAAAGACTTGATGAAATGTATTTATCTTATTTTCTCTGTCCATCATGATTGAAACAAAAACGAAGTGGAATCAATTATATACGTGTCTGCAACCTCGCTTGAGGAAGTCGAGGCAACCTGGTATATCCAGATCAGCATGTTAGGCCCGGGGAAAGGAAAGTCGATAAAAAGGCTCAATCCTATGGCGGACTTCGGCCTCTCATCCGGTTACCAGTCCTTGTCGGGTATGGGATTAGTTACCCAGTTATTTATTTGTTTCGGAAGCATGGACTTGATGATGGAGAAAGCCGTAACCAACCGCCCTATGGCGACGAGTAGTCAAGCAATCATCTTGCACATACCCATCTCGCATGGGATTCGAACCTCCGCAGGGTGGCGAGTGTATTCGAATTGCACCAATGTGAAATATGTGAGAAAAAATTTGCTATTTCAGGGACTTTGGAAGAACATTTGAAAATTCATGCTCGTGTAAAATATGTGGAAAGAGATTCAGCTATGGTAGCACTCATACGTGGGTCCACAACGGCTGTGAAGTTCATAAATGTCTCCAAAAATTTAAGCATCCTTCTGTTTAAACAGGGCAGGGCAAACTCACGAGAAAAGCGAAATTTTCTCAAAGTGAGGAAGCTGCCTCGGCGAGGTTTTGAAATCCCTGCGTGGCTTTATTCAAGCACAATAAATGCTGCCAAGTTTTTAAGCTGTGTTACAATTAATATTGAGCAACACTTCAATGCTAAATTAAAATAGATAACAAAATTTACTAAAAAAATTAGGATTTTGTTGAAAAAAAAACAAGCGACCTATGAGTTTGGGAAACTGTTTTACAGTATCTTCAAAGTGAGAACTTATATAACATCCATATATACACCTAACATAAAACGAGCCGACCGAAGACTTATCGATCGAAACTGCGGTTTCGATTCATGACTCTATAGAGACACCGCGTGTCCCATCACTAATTAAATAATAACTCGCTAATTATACGACATAATTCATTCAAAATCAATAGGCTCCTGATCAGGGAGATGCACATGCAAAATTTGGAGCAGATGCAACCCCGCTTTCGTGAGATATCACGTGCATCTAACAGACAGACAGACAAATACCTATCAACATACTTACCGATCTTAAGATCGATAAGTAATTATTTACGTTCGCCTCTAAGCTGCCATGTGAAACGGCCACTCTAATCTCGTAAGTGGCTCATTCTACATTCTTGATTGAAATCACAACCAGACTGATTATATATTCACACTGAATAGCATGAAACCGTGTTTTACAAATCCCCATTCCGGATTACGATGAGAAACAGTGAATGCCTGAGAACGCGACACGTAAGGTAGTCAACAGACACGATTACTGGTTGGTATGCTACGCGAATACAATTTAATAATTTGCAAATATAATTATGAAAAACGAGCAAATGTAACACAAAATGTAATATTGAATCTTTACTGTTTTCTGTTGCCACCCACCAGCAATTCACATTACACGTGTCATAGATATCATCTTTAATGTGATATTATCATCCACTTCGTAACGACGTTTGTTACTATTAAAATAGCACTTATTCCAAACGATATCTTAGCACAAGATTTGTCACAATATGATATGATATTGCTATTCTCCCATGACACTATCGAAATAAGGGAAAAGATACCTAGTACATACCACAAAAATATAATTATAAATCCTCTATCAAATTTAAACTGTTGCCGAGGTATTATCAATAAGCTAAAGCAAGCCCTCTGAATATCTGATCATTTCATCTGAGCATTCTCACAAATTATCTTTTGCAATTTAACTGGCATAATTTTAATTCCCAAATTGTGCATAAATTTACTCTCGTAACTGTTTGACGTCATCTGCTGTGGATAATAGGTTTCAGTAATAGGTTTTCTCGCGATCCCTCGCCCAAATACATCAATCACGTTTTTGGATGTAATTTATATTTTTTGTTTATATGTACAATGTTTGTTGCTCAACGAAATTAAATATCTGAATCTGTTTCAGTTAAGAGACATTCTTTTTCTCTTTACTTCTACTTATTATTCTACATTTTATGACGAGCAGTGCTCAGAACCTGTCTCTAAGTCACTGAGAAATATCACATCTACTTGTATGACAAGAGTACGATGCGAATATAGATGGAGTTCGCGACAGTTAAATAACTAAAATTGCCGCCACAATTCCAAATTAGTCAAACATCCCGAATATACTATGTCTACGGTGTGTCATGTCGGGCGTGTCCATGAATTATTGGACACGTAATGAACATAACGATCGTTTCAATATTATGTTGTTGTTTTTCTTATTTTTCTTCGTCATCATAATTATAAAATCGCTTTTCTCTTCGATTATTGGACCAATTGCTTTGAAATTTTCTGTGGTTAAAGATAAAATTTTTCTCCTGAAGGCTATTACTTTTTGTCGCCATGACGTCATCAAAATTACGTGGCTCTACGTGTCTATATATTTGAGCATAGCTCTCTTGTTTCAAAAGAAAAATTCAATTTTGATGACGTCACGAACTTCAAAGTGAAAAATAAATACCACAAAGCCTATTTTAGAATTAATAAAAAAAAAACTTTCAGCGACAATGATTTCCAACCACTGAAAACTTGAGCAATTATTTCGGTTTTAGAGAAAATCGAATATTTATTTACAACATTAATACCAATACGAAGAACTAGCAGCAACATAATAACAAAATAATCCATAGATCCACTCAGTGTCTAATAAATGACAGAACAATCACTAATTTCGAACCTAACTTACATAATGTTAATTTAGAAACTCAGGCTATAAAATTTCCATGAGAAAAAGGTGTGTTCACGGACTTAGTAGGCAGTATCACACATTCGATTCGATAAATGTTTTGAGTGTTAAAAATGACATTACATAAAAATACATGTTTTGAGATCACTGTTGTCAATATGAATGTAAGTTAAGACTTTCATGAGCATAGCTGAATTATGTTTGGCTCAGACAAAGTCCGACTTTGTCCAGACCAAAGGTTACAAAAATATGATGTTAGTGTTCACAAGGCTCTTGAGGTTTTAGCTGTGATTTATAATCACATTTTTGCCGCAGTGTGAACGAGTAAATGGTTCGATAGACTTGAATGGTACTTGAACTTTTTCTCACATTGTTCACATTCATAATTTTTTGCGTCGGTATGGACAATCATGTGCGTTTTTAAGTCCGACGGCTGCTTGAATGCTTTTCCGCACAATTCGCATTTACAATTTCTTACCTCCGTATGCGTAAACAAGTGTCTTTTCAGATGCCCCGAAATTCTAAAACTTTTGCCACATATTTTACATTCAAAGTTCTTCACATCTGTGTGAACATGCAAGTGCATTTGAACATCTCCGGGTCTTCTAAATGCTTTATCGCACACTTCACATTTGTGTTTCTTCTCTGTAGAATGCGATAGCATATGACGTTTCAAGTTGTAAGTATCTATACAGTACTTAGCGCATATCTCACACTTATATCTTTCGTCATTTATGTGAGTACGTAAATGTAACTCGAGCTTGCTTTTGGAGACAAATCCTTTTGAGCATATTCCACATTTATGCTTTCTTTCATCTGTGTGCCGTGTCACTACATGGCTGTTTCGATTACTGGCACTACTGAATTTCAGCCCCCATGTTTCACATTCATACGGCTTTTCTTTTGAATGAATTCTCAAATGTACTTTGAGGCTTCCCGCAAGAGTAAATTTTTTATCGCAAATTCCACATTGATGCATTTTAACGCCGATGTGAATCAACGTATGATTCGTCAAATACGCGTTCGTTGCGAATTTCTTGCCACAGACGTCACAACCAAACACTTTCTCTTTTATTGTGCCTGAGTGAATGAGTAGGTGTTTCTTCAAGCTACTGACTCGGGCAAATTGTTTCTCACATATATGACATTTATGCGACTTTTCTGCTGTGTGCATTATCATATGGTTTCTCAAGTAACATTTATATTGAAAACTCTTTTTACAAATATTGCATTCGAAGTTCTTCTTCGCAGTATGAGCCTTTAAATGAGCTTTCCTGGAGGCTTCTGTTTTGAATTGTTTCCCACATATTTCGCAATCCAACTTTATTGCTTTAACCGGCATGTCGGTATTCGAATCAAGTGCAAAATTGTGTGTATTTTCTTCATGCTGATCTAGATCCATGCTGGTGATAACTGTGTACTGTCTTATTAGTATCAAACTTAGTTTATCGCGGTTAAATATATGTATATGAATTGAGTTTCGAAATCTGTTAAAATATATATCATTTGATATAAATCAATTATGAAAAAAATAATTTCGATGATCGTAAAATTTGAATTCTTTAATATATTTTTTGATAGTTTAAAATAACATTATAAAGTTATTATTTGAAGCAAAACAAATTGACTTAAGGCTGTATAGTTTAACTCTCGACCCCTGGCATTTTTGTCTGACCGGTGATAATGTGCAGCAAGACCCGCGAACCAAATGAAATAATTTATTCTTGCTACAGCATCCTTGCGTTAAATGCACTTCTACAGATGTGAGGAAAGGTAGTTTTACTTGCGTAACCCGTACTGATAGTTATAACAATTAACGAGTGTTTCATCAGAGGGTGTATTCTAAAATCTAAGCAACTGAAAATAATATTTTTTTCAAGCGTTCGACGCAAAACTTCTCGAAATAAGTTAATAGATTCCTGTGGCAGAATGTGCGGTTGTAGATAACGTGAATAAATACTCTTGCAATAAAATTATGAACATTATACATCTGAACATTATATTCAGATTCTTTATCGGTAATTTATCCACTTCAACTTCTTAATAACTGAACTATTGCCAAGACCGTATAGAGTTTATAATAATGATGATTGGAGACCGAGTATATATAGTGATGCGAGGTATATAGGCTCGAACGTTAACGCAAGTTAATTGAAACAAACGCATTCTAATTATCGTCGTAAAACAATTTATCAATAGATAAACAGTATCGGAAATTTTCATGCTATCTAATTGTTATCTCAGCTTCCAAGTCTTTAAGCCTAAGGGATTGTAGTATTATTTGAGGTTTAAAATTGTATTAGTTTTATCTGATTAAGGACAGCGGCCAATTCTGTTTGATATAAGCGCTGTTGGATCAAATAGTGACTCGAGTAAAAAGTGCTCGAAGACACGAAACTTAATGACAAAGGAGAGAGCGTGCTCCATAATAATAGCGGATAATTCGCTATTTGATTAAGATTCTAGATATAAATTATATAAATAGTATCTAAATTGAAACTTGAATAAAATCACTGAGAGTAAAACGGCATGTCTGAAGATGTCGCTTTACTCTGAAATATTGAAGGAAAACCGTAGAAGGGATGAAGAGGAGAGAGGCACACTAGATAGATCGAAATGTATGGCACTGAAATTTAATGATGAAAAAGTGATCAGAAGAGAAGATATTTGGGAATTTTTTAGGAAACTTGATGTAGTGTTTGACACAGTGGATGGATTTGTTATTACATCCAGATACACTGTTGATTTAACGTTTAAAACAAGAACAACAGCTATTGATGTAGACAAGAAACTTTGGGAGTTAAAAAAAGTAGGTGCTGAAACTCTACCTTTTCATAGGCTCTATGTACCTGAAAATGTGGCAGTATTTGTGCACAATGTACCATGTCCGATGAAAAATAAAGAAGTCAAAGAACATTTTGAAGAACATCATGGATCCGTAGGAGAACCACTTATATTGAAAGACAGATTTAATATGAAAAATGGCATAAGAAGATTTTTTATAAAAAAGATGATCTAATGAAAAAACCTATTAAAAGCTATGTGAAAATAAAAGGTCATTCACTCTTTGTCAAATATTGGGGCCAGACTCCAACTTGTCGTATATGTGGTAAAATTGGACACATAAAAAATGAATGCGAAAACTTCATTCCGAAATTTGACAGATATAAAAACACAGGACAAAGACCACTAAATCCAGGACAGAATGAAATTGACGAAAAGGAAAAAGGAACAGAAAAAGTTACTCAACAAACACGAAAAGAGAAAAATATTTTGACAGAAGATAATAATAATAGAGAACAGCAACCAAATGAAAACCCAACCCAAAGCACACCTGCCAATGAAATAAGTGAAGATCATACACCGGAAACTCAAACAAGACCATACTTACAACCACAAATGTTTAGTAATCTTTCAGATATCAGTGACGAAAATGATGAGATGATTGACTTGAATAATGAAGAAGAGATGAACTCCAAAACAACAACGCAATCCAGTACATCAGAAAAAACAGTCTTATAACACCTCTACAAATGTAAGATGGTGGTGATTCAAATTCAAAAGGTGTTGCCATATTACTAAAGTCAAAGCTAGCAAGTTTTTCATTTTATAATATCCTATTTGATAAAGATGGAAGAGTTCTCACTTCAGATATAAATATTCATGAAGAAAAGATTCATTTAGTGAATATATATGCTCCCTGTCGGACAAACAATTTAAAACAGGAAAATTTTTATAATAACATATATAGATTCTTATATTCTCGACATATAGTAATTTTAGGCGGTGATATGAACTGTGTGCACGACATAGACAAAGATCGAACAATAGACAACAAAAGAGCTAAAAAAGAATATGTGTCCGATGCTTTAAATGAGCTGATAAATACTTTTGATTTAGTTGACTCTGTGGAATTTCTACCTAATAGTAACCCCTTTTACACATGGAGAAATGCAACTGTGCAAGCAAGACTAGATCGTATTTACTGTTCCCATAGATTGTGTAATGTAACCAATCTCTATTGTATTCCTACATATAACTCTGATCATGACATGTATTCCGTAGAAGTCCAAATTTTCAGTAACCTTGAAGAGAAAGGAAACGGATATTGGAAAAACAATGTATCTGTTTATGACAACCAAAACTACCTTGAAGAACTCAAAAATAAGTGGAATAATTGGTGTTCATTGAAAATTTTATTTGTTACAAAAACTCAGTGGTGGAGCGAAATTAAGAAAAAGATTTGACTATCAAACACTCTATTAAAATGGCAAAAAAAGAAAAGGCAGATTATGATAAAGGAATGCAACAAATGGAAGAATTAAAAGAAAAATTAGATAAAGGTGAAAAGGTTTTAACTGCATTCAACAAATTAAAAAGAGAATTAATTTCAAAACAAAGACAAAAAAGTGAAAAAATAAGAATTTTAAACTTGGCGCACCATTACGATACACATGAGAAATGTAACAAGTATTTTTTCAGAAAGTTGAGAAAAAAGCACAAAGAATGTTACATAAACAAATTAAGAACCAAAGAAGGAGACATACAAGATGAATTAACAGAGAAAATGTATATAGTCAAGAATTTTTATCAAGATTTATACAAAAAGCAACACACCAACATATACACTCAGAATTATTTTATAACAGCTATTCCTGATTCCATAAAATTGCAAGAAGATGAAGCAGAAACCATACAAAGGCCGATAATTTTAAATGAAGTTCTGGAAACTATCAAAATTTTAAAAGAAGGCAAAACTCCAGGACCTGATGGGATAAGTGTAGAGTTCTACAAAAAATGCTGGGACATCATAAAATTTGATTTATTTGAGGTATTGGAAGAAATATATGAAAACTGCCTTATAACAAATGACATGAAAATTAGTTATACAACTCTTATACATAAAAAGGGAGAACTGGATAAAATTGAAAACTATAGACCAATAGCATTATTAAACAATGATTATAAAATCTTGACAAAGATGTTAGCAAATAGATTAAAAATGGTACTTCCTGACATTATTGACAGACACCAAACTGCTATTCCAGGACGAAGAATCTCTGATTCACTAAACCTGTTGAGAGATATATGCATTCAAGAACAGAATAAAGCTGGGGAATCTTCATTGTTATCATTAGATTTTAATAAGGCAATTGATAGTGTAGACTTGGATTATCTTTTTAAAGTACTTGGAAAATTTGGATTCAAAGAAAAGTTCATAAATGTAATTCGGACTTTGTACACAGATTCAAAAACCAGACTGTTGATAAATGGCTACTTAAGTGAAACTGTTAAACTTGAAAGAGGAGTTAGACAAGAAGATCCTTTAAGTTTATTCATGTTTACGCTGGCAATTGAACCTCTGCTCAATAAAATTATTACCCATAAAGATATCAATGGAATAAAGATTCCACAAAATAAGGAAATAAAACATATTAGTTACGCTGATAACATCACATTGACTTTACGTAACAAAAATTCTGTCTATACGGCAATGGATATGATAAACAGATTTCAAATAGCAACTGGGATGTCGTTAAACATTGGAAAAAGCAAACTTTTAATATTAGGAATATGGAATAACACCAACTTTTTTGTAAAGATACCTATTGTAAACACATTGAATATACTTGGAGTAATATTTTCAAATTCGGACACATGTGAAGAAAACTGGCAAAAATGCTTGAATAAAGCCAGAACTACAATAACTGAGCTGCTGAATATTCCGTTATCATTAGATGGCAAATGTTTAATGATAAAACTGAAAATTTTACCTTTGTTTTTATTCTATGCAAAACTATACCCCATTCAATTGAATATTGCAAAACAGATAAATAAAAGTATAGAAAAGTTTGTTTTTGATGGAAAAAGTATATTGAAAATCGAAACACTGTGCAAAAATAAGGCATTTGGAGGTTATGATATAATTAATATACCTTTGTTTACCATGTGTTTATATATAATGACTGCTTTTGACTATTATTATGATAAAATCAATATTACTGCTGAGCAATATAGACCATCAGTTTTGAATTTTATTGAACATAATATTGGTCAACAACTTTGTTTATTTTTTAATTTACCTACGAATAATAGTGTAACTCATGTATTTTTTCCTCATAAATATTATGGAGCTTTAATTAAGTTTATAAGACAACATAACATCACAGGGAATGATTTGAAACAAGGGAAGCATAGGCTACTTTACAATAAAATAGTGAACAACCTTAATGGGGGAAATAGAATTGTGTTTCTTCGAGATGGTACTTTAGAAGGGGCCTGCTCTAATATTCATAGTAAAATATTGTCCAATGGTGTAAAATCCTTTAATTATAAATTAATGTGGGATGTTCTTCCTCTTAAAGTAAAACCCAGAATCAGACATGTTGCTGGCAATGAATTATGTGTGTTTTGTTCACAAGAGCCTGAGTTTGTTTCACACATATTTTGGAACTGTCCATTCACACAAGATGTGTATGATTATGTTTATTCTATTGCCTTAAAAATCAATTATCGTGTTTTGAGAAATAATTATATTACGTGTATTTTATTAGATTTGAATCAACAATGTTATTCACAATTGTCAAACTTGGAACGTAATGCCATTATACTATTATTTTGTACTGCCAGACATAAAATTTGGTTGGAGAGAAACTTAGTCATTTTCCAAAATGTTAATCCTAATGTCAACAATGGGATAATGAAAATTAAGAACTCCCTCATAGCAAGAAGGAATATTGAAAAGTGTAGACAAAATCCAAATTTTACAAGAGAACTTGATATTTTATATAATAGCTTCTGATTAGTTTTGCATAGTGATCCTTAGTATTGAAACTAATATATTTTTTATGTTTTCATTATTATAATTAATGCTAATGAATAAATATTGTACTAATGATTAATGTTGAAAATACATACTGGATATACCAATGGACTATTATATGGAAAAATGGACTATTATGGAACAACCACTCTGCTGATGATGTATTTGTTTTGTCACTTGTATACAATTATTTATTGATATTCCTATATTATTTTATTTATTCTTTAATTATTGATTAATCCACAATGTGGAAAAAAAAAAAAAAAATAGCGGATAACAACAATAAATTGTGCGAATAGAAATTTTATTTCTTGAAATTGATCACCAAGCTCCAACTCTCACTCGAAAGCCTGATTTAATTTCTAACATCTTTCCGCGAATAAATGAAACAGTGTCGCTGGCACTGACTATATGTGACTCCTATTTGAGCATTTTACGTCAAACTATGCTTTGTATGACAGAGTCTGCAAAATTTTGAATATTTTCAGTTTGTCATTGCGGACTTATTACATCCAGTATATTGTATTGGAACCGTTCTAACGCTTTAACGTAAGGCCATTTTATCAAATATTGGTGAATTCGTAGGGTTTGGTAAATTTTTGAAGATACGCCAGCGGCACCATATCTTACCCGAAGTCCAAGTCAGAGTTAATATAACCAAGGCAGAGTTTCTTTAGCTGGGTTCGATCGTCGAGAAAGCTGAGAGGTCCTCTGAAATTCGACTATCAAAAACTCGTTGTATTGCAACCAATGTCGCGCTTTGTGCACGTCTGTAGGAAAGCGTTTCAAGATGCTTTCCACAATTGGAAATATCAATTAAGTTGTTGTTACGACTTTTTGATTCTAACCTAAATATCTACAATGAAGTATCCATGATTTACTACTAAACTTGAGCTCAGTTTTGGGCAAAAATTGGAAATCGGAAGTAAGTGTACACAATTGAATACGAAATCGATGCGTATTTAAATTTCAGTGAAAGATAAAATTCTCAGCAAAAGATATTTTTTTGATCAGAGCTCTTCTTAAAATTATTAGCACCCATCCTCGATGACTGTAATATGGTGTCAAGTCGTTTGTCACAATTTGGCCCTCTATCTTATTGCATTAAAACAAAAATTGTGCCCAATGTGCCCAAGGCGCGGCGGTGTGGCTCAACGGGCTAAGCGTTAGGAATACGCTCGCCACCGCACCTCTAACTACTCTGCGTAGGTTCGCAGGTTCGAATCCCATGCAGGGATAGTTATGTGCGAGAGGATTGCTGGACTCCTCGCCGTCGTTGGGTGGTTCACGTAACGGCTGGTCGGTTACGGCTTCCTCCACCACCAAGTCCATGCTTCCGAAAACAAACAATACAGTAAATCTAATCCCAAACCCGACTTGGAATGGTAACCGGACGAGAGGCCGTGGTTCGCCATATGGATAAGCCGTCGTATCGGCTTTCCTCTCCCCCGGGATAAATATGTAAATCCTATCCTATCCTAAGAAACGTAGAAAAGTTGGCGTCAAGGTTCGAGTATTCCGAAGTGCTCAGGCGGACAATTTTTTTTTTCTATGCATCATTCAAGACTTGTTTGTGACGAGTGTGCGCAGTAGGATACAATTTTCCGATTACTGCTCTAAGACTATCTTATTATCCTTAACTGATTGTTATTCAAATTCTGAGATGTGAATGACGTGTACTATCATGAAATTTTTGTAGACTGAAAAAGTCGCTAATAGTGCGTGAAATTGCATTTGTTAAAATCAGGATTGTTTTCATAACAGCGATAGTTATTTGGGTCGTTATAGGGTCTTTTGTCCCAGTAACGTATATGCAGAGTTGAACCTAAATCTGACTCTTCTCAGGCCAAAAAGCACCCAAAGTATTTGTTATGCCAAATTGTTTGAATTACAAAAATGTACAATCAAATCTTAAAACAGTTACACGGTCGAAATCAAAAACAGTAATGCACATAAAACATACAGAGCCTTCTTCGCGACACTTGTGAAGCGGATACACGTCCCACATTGGCCAGTACAGAGAAGGGCATTTCTAAAGAATGTAGAAGTCTTTATTCTTTTCGTTTTACGTCAGCATGAAGGAGTGAATGTCTATATAGACTCGCAGGGTGCTTGTATCTTTTCGCACACACTTCACATTTAAAGTTTTTGGAGATGCTGTGCACATACACATGCTTTTTTAAACATGAAATTGTTCTAATCTAAACGATTTTGTACATATTTCACATTTATGAACTTTTGGGCCAGTCTGGACCGGTACATGTGAGGGTTGTTTGAACATTTTTGCGCACAGTCCGCATTTCAAAAATTTTCCCTTTGTAATATGAATTATCATGTGCCTTTTCTCGTTATATGAGCTGTTAAATTTCTTCCCGCATATTTTGCATTCAATGTTCCTCTAACTAGTGTGCACACGCAAATGTTTATCCACATCGTCTGCACGCTTAAATGATTTGTCACACAATGGACAATTATGATTTCTTTCTGCACTATGAACAACTTGATGACGATTTAAACTACGAGTTCCAGTCAAATATTTTCCACATATTTCACATTGATACCTCTTGTCACCGATGTGGGTTCCCATATGCAATTTGAGACTGCTTTTCCAACTAAATATTTTCGAACAAATTTCACATTTATATCCTCTCTTGTCAGTATGGTTTTTCGAATGTCTGTTGTGGTTACTGCTACGACTAAACGTTTTTCCACATGTCTCACACGCATACGGCTTTTCTTTCGAATGAGTTCTCAAGTGCACTTTCAAACCACCAGCAGTAGTAAGTTTCTTTTCGCATATTTCACATTTATGTAATTTGACACCAATATGACTTAACATGTGTTCTTTCAGATTTCTCATACTTGTCAATTTTTTCCCACATATTTCACATGTATGGTACTTTCTGTTTTCCGAATGAATGAGTAGATGTGTTTTCAAGCCACTTAAAACAGAAAATTTTTTCTTGCATATTCCACATTCATGCGGTTTCAAGTCTGGATGGGCGTGGGAAACAATGTGTTTATCCAGGTAACGTTTGAATATAAATCTTTTTCCGCAAGCAGTACATTCATGAGTCTTCTTCGCAAAATGTTTTTTGAGGTGTTGATTCATGGTGCCTTTCGTAGAGTATTGTTTCCCGCATACCTCACATTCAAACTTTATCTTTTTGTTGATGGTTTCAATATCCAGAGAACATTTGTCATGATGCTGCTGATTCATTTTTTGGCGATTGAATTGTTCTATCTTACCAGTTCAGGAGAACTATTTTGAAAAAATTGAAATATATTTGTTTTGACAGTAATTTGAAATAAATACAGAAATTGCATCTTTCTTTTCAAAATGTTCTCTCAATTAATACATAGTATTCTAGCGAAAATTAAATTTCGGACATATGAAACCATCTCTGTCCACACATATTTTACTTGAAATCCGAGACCAGTCAAAAACAATTGTCATTGATAATAGCTATTTTCTGACTGACACTTGATTTGACTAAATCACAATGCTACATTGTGCTATGGATTGATAGTGCTATTAAATCTGGCAAGTAATTAATTCATAGTAATGCGAGTGGATTTTGGCCAAAGCAGAGTGAGAAATAGTCGATTTTTTATACTGAAATCATATGTGTCCATCGAAATATAAAAAAAGAATGGAGGTGATAGCTCGCATGCAAACTTGACGTCAACTAGTTCAAAAAGAGGCCATTGCATAATACAGTAATATTTATCTATCTAATTAGTCAATCTAGCATGATTTCACCCTGAAATGCCTGTACCAGAATGTGTAAAACTATTTTCTGTAGGTACCGTCTCCAAAACTAACTGTAGACTTTCCACCACGTACCAATATTTATGTACAAAACCACATGGCGAAAAAAAAAGGTAACCAAGGCTAATATTTACTTATTTTAGTGCTTTACAAGCTCGACCTAATTCCAGATGAAATACTGGGTCTCATGTAGTTTCGTACCTAAAGTACTTTTAGTGGGCGTAGAATACCCAGTTTTGCACATGTCAATCCTAACCCTCACCTGACTACGCCATTCAGAAATTACGTCACAATCACGTCTTATAAGCTTTCGAAAGTATACTACGATCGCCCTAAATGTCATCTGCGCCGACGATAATAAACTAACGGCATGATAAAGAAGTAACGGCAGCGATCTCTCTCATTTCGGATCATCGCCTGCGCGTCTTGGATGACAGTTCGTATAGTTTTAACTAAAGTAGTGTTTCCAAATCTATTCCCATCCACGTACCATTTCGAGGTTTTATACAGCGCTCGCGTATCACTCCGTATACGGCCGAAGCGTGCTTTAATTTTTTACTTTTATGTGAGCGAACACGACCACTTCTTTTATCAATACCTTTCCAACTAAATTTTGTACCGGTACGTTTCAAACCTTACTCGAGGTTTTGTTTGCTCTCCCGATTTTATATTCAGTTATTTTTTTAGTCTTCATCCATTATTTTATCGTCTACTGCTGATTATGGAGTGGAAATAAACTTATACTTATACTAATCTTTTATGACATCATAATCATGCATTTGATCTATGCGAAGTGTAATAACAAATTCTTTTAAACTAGGCAACATCAGCCAAGGTTGAATAGCGCATGATTGCCACCAGGTATATTCATGTCAAAGATAAATAAAGTACAACCGGTGTATAGCAAAACGATATAATTTGCCGACGTTTCGAATTTCTATTCAGAAAAACTTCATCAGGGCATGATATGAAGAGTACACTATCGTATATATATAGAGTAGAAAAATAAAAAGATAGTAAAAATTAAACGGCGTGAAAAACTGAAAAAAGGGACAATATGATAATAGATCCGAGTGAATAAGCGCAAGTTCAAACAATTACGCGACTATCTAAACAATGATTTATATACATGCGGGAACAATGTAGTTTCTTTATCGTTCATTGAATTTTTCTCTTTGTTGATATGATAAGATTCGAGAAATAGTCTTTTTCTGTAGTGAATTTCATGTTCCAATATCCTGCTGTTATCCCAATCAATGCTGTGATCAGTAGAATCAGTAGAAATAAACTTCATTAAAAAGACCCTAAGACAAAATGGATACCCAAAGAAAATGTTTAGTAATCAGAGCAACCGTCAAGATATGAAAGAAGAACTGAAACCGATCACGTGAACTACCATTCCATATGTTAAAGGACTCAGCGAGAAAATTCGGAGGATTTTAGAAGATGTAAGGATAAAAGTTAGTTTTAAACCCCAAAACACAATTGGCCAACTACTTTCTAATGTCAAAGACCGCCCATGCCCCAACAAGAAAAACGACGTGGTATATGCAATCCCATGCGTTGATTGTTGCTCTATTTACATTGGAGAAACGAAACGAAGTCTAGAAACTTTAAGAAAAGAACATCAGCGTGATGTAAAACAAAAGAAATTTGAAAAATCGACCCTTTCGAAACGGGCCCTTTCTACTGATCACAGCATTGATTGGGATAACAGCAGGATATTGGAACATGAAATTCACTACAGAAAAAGACTATTTCTCGAATCTTATCATATCAACAAAAAGAAAAATTCAATGAACGATAAAAAAACTACATTGTTCCCGCATGTATAAAAATCATTGTTTAGATAGTCGCGTAATTGTTTGAACTTGCGCTTATTCACTCGGATCTATTATCATATTGTCCCTTTTTTCAGTTTTTCACGCCATTTAATTTTTACTATCTTTTTATTTTTCTACTCTATATATATACGATAGTGTACTCTTCATATCATGCCCTGATGAAGTTTTTCTGAATAGAAATTAGAAACGTCGGCAAATTATATAGTTTTGCTATACACCGTTTGTGCTTTATTTATCCTTGACATCAGCCAAGGTTGGTGGGATCGTTGTTCACCACCAGTCACAAGAATGACAACAAAATATAACAAGAGAGCAATGCTCAAATATATGGACACGCAGAACAATTCCCCAAAAATCATATGCGGTGACTTACCAGTACCTGTATAAAGCAAGCAGCTACAAGTTAGTTCAGTGTCACCACGCTGTGTTACGGTACCAGAACTTCTCTATCTGGGCTTCTAATTGCATTTCATGATTTCTGACCGTCATATATTTTAAGAACACGGTTATTTCGAACAAAACTCGTCAAATTATAAACAAAGCACCACATCACAGCAATCGAACAGACAAAAACACGATGGTCGCAAATTGGTTGACAAAGATAATATCGACGTATTGGAAATGCGTACCCCCTTATTCCTTCTCCTACCTGTAATGCCGGACGCTTCTTCTTTGCAAAACCAAGTTATTTGATTTATCACGGTATTATAACAGCAGATACCACAGTCTACAATTATATTCACACCAAGCGAAGCAGTACAGTACCGGTACGGTTTACCGTACCTTCAGACCACAGTCTACAAATATATTCACACCAAGCGAAGCAGTGAAGTACGGTTTACCGTACCTCTAGACCAGTGTTTTTCAACCGGGGTGCCGCGGCACACCGGTGTGCCGTAAAATAATGCCAGGGGTGCCGTGGGAAATTCTCCAATTTGTGTGTCTATGCGGTGTAGCGCCCGTCAGAACAATCTGTTCCATATCAGAATGTGGCAGCAGTAGATGGCGATTTGCCCTTTTTTCCTTGTTTTATTTGATTACTATTTAAGATGTCCAATTCAACATCTTTCTTCAAAGTTAAAAAAGCTTATATTAACAATATAACACTTATATTGTAAATATTAGGTCTTTTCCCCACATTTTAAGCTGGGGGTGTGCCGCGGGATTTTCTCAGAGAAAAAAGTGTGCTTTGGCTCGAAAAAGGTTGAAAAATACTGCTCTAGACCACAGTCTACAAATATATTCACACCAAGCGAAGCAGTACAGTACGGTCTACCGCACCTTTAGCATCACCGCTATTCACCGGTAACCTCGAAAAATGGTTCAGTTAGACCGACAGTTCGGAGATGATATGGATTAAATTACCATACCATCTAAATCAGTTATAGAAAACTTAATTTTAAAATAAATTAAATTCTTGTGATCTTTATATCTACAGTTATATCTTGTATTGTTTGAAGAAGTTAGACCATGATCTAACGAAAGCTCACAAATATACTTACTATTTCGTTGAAAGAGATCATGTTATTTTTACTTAACCTCGAAAAACTTGCGATTTTTGAGTAACGACTTTCAGAATCCGCCGTCACGCCAACGTTCGATGTCACGTGATCAAAGAGAGGAGTGCCCGCATATGCGTCCGCAGAACGTTCAGTGACGTCATAGCAAAAAGAACAAATCTCACAGAGTTAACAGGAATATTTGAAATAAATAAAAGTAATAGCCTTCTGGAGAAAAATTTCATCTTTAACCACTACAAATTTCAAAGCAATTGGTCCAGTGATCAAAGAGAAAAGCGGTTTTTTAATATTTCCACTAGGTGTCCAAAAAGTGTCAAAGAATAACAGCAACAAGACCAACATAATATTGAAACGATCGTTATGCCCACTTCGTGTCCAACGAGAGAGCAACGCTCAAATATATGGATGCGTGGGCCAGAGCGAAACAGTCTTAAATTTCGCAGTCGGCCGTCACGCTTGGCGAACCGTGTTTCCACAATTAAAAAGTAATACAGCGTAATTTTCGATGAATTATTAGATCCTATAGGAATCATGGAAAATTTAGAAAAAAAGTAAAAGTAATAGCTTTCAGGAAAAAAAAAATCAATCTTTAACCACAGAAAATTTCAAAGCAATTGACCTTTCCCCGACCTTTGACCCCCGAAAAATTCTTCCTATACTTTACTATTGCAAAATTTTCGGGGCTCTTTTAAGAGTGCTTTTGCGAGTTGGCGCTTGTAAAATGGAGTATGTGTTTCAAACCATCATTATGATTCATCACATACAACAATCTGTTTTTTAAAAGTACCGGTAAAGAATTTCAGGCTAGTCTATCACAGCTATTTCTACACTAATTTTTATTACTGTATGTATGTTTGTTTGCCTCAAAAATGTAACAGTATTTGCATAATAATTAAACAGTAAAACAGAGACGGGATACATGTTCAAGACCTTACTGACCTAAGACACAGATGTGCGACATGTACCCCTAACAATGATGCGTTATACTATGACAACAGACATGAAATTGACTATACAAATAAAACCCAAAAATACCCAAGACAAAAAGGTACGACACAGCGGCGATATGTACAATAGTCAGTTTATGTCCCGTCCATAATCCCAGGTTCCGGGATATGAAAAGATGGAGATAGGGTATGAGTCGCTGAATTGATATGTTTTTACACTAAGTCTCACGAAACACGTAAAGATTTGTTCGGGATATAAACTCGCCAGAAACCAACGTTGAGTGGGGCCACGACACGAGAAAAAATTTTTAAAAGATAAATGTAGGAAACGTTTGTTTAAACTTGAGTTGTAATCATAATTTGCACTGGACCAGGGATATGGGAACAATAGAGAGTCTGCCATAAAATGCGGCCACTTTCATAAGCGCTATTGTGTGAAATTTATTGTCGCCATGTCTCAGCATGATAATTATAAATTTTTATTGAATGATCTAGTTTGCATAATTGACGATCCAGCGAAGGAAGTAAATAAACAATAAAACTACGCGGGAAATAGAGACAATAGATCCGTGGGGGTCTCGAAACTTGTTTTCCGATCAATGGAGGTTTGTTGCATGATGACATTGTTAGTCGATTGGGGGTATTTTTCATCTCTGTAGTTCTTTTCTCATTTTCTAAGTACCCTTTGTATCTAAAAAATAATGTCCTCAACTCACTAAATCTAATAGAATTCCAATAAATGTCTCTTAAGCTTGGATCTAAATTCGGACGTCGTTTGCGAGCTTTTAATACTATTAGGCAATGGGTTTCATAATTTAAGTCCAAAGAATGTGATCGATTCTTGTGCTATTGATGTTCTAACATACGGAACAAAAAATCTGTCGTGACTTCTGATATTTCGGGTATTATTATTCGCGAATACGTGATTAAAACAACTAGGACGTTGACCAGTAGAGGATAAAAACATCAATGTGCAAATCTCTAGTGCAGTGCTTTTCAACCGCGAGACAGCGCGCGTTGTTACATCGAAATTCACAATTGATTTTACGTTATACTCCTATTCACGATTTCTACACTCCACCCGCCATGCATGCCCGAGTAAAATGTTTACATTTTCGAAACATTACTTGGTCAAGAATGAAAGGTATCACTATAGAATTATTTGGAATCACATTAAGAGAACTATGTTCTGCCATTTCTTTTCTGGTCATAGCTTGTTCGTGTTATACTATGTATGGTTTCATGCGAAAGTTAATTCAACTTTTCATTTTCATTAAACAAATTTATGTTTGGTTCATGCATGAAACGGCAAATCACGTGCCGCCAATCATACAGAGTTTAAAATCTGGAATATTTATTTTAAATACCTCATCTGATTTGACGTTTCTAAATCTAGGAAACGGTGTCAGTACCTTTTTTTAGCAAAATAGGGAATTGAAATGAAAGATTGAAACGCAAAGAAAACAAATAACACCACGACGCAAAGACGATTTTTCAAATTTGTTGCTTTTGTCTGTTAGCGAGCGTTGTAGGGGAATTCTCGCGCAATTCACGATCGGTTCAGAGACGTCCTGTGTTCTAGTGAAGCGGCGCAGATCACGTGGTACCCGATATTCGAATGGTAAAATGCCAATCGAATAATTTAATATTCGATTCGTTATTCGAATATTTTGCCCAGCCCTAGTATAGATAATACCAAAATCGAACCTTCGATTTGTATTGACCTTCCAAATCATCTCTCATTTGGTCGATTTCATAATTTTGCTGGTCACGAAGATCGGCAATCGCAGCTTCCAATCGACTTTCATAATCGACTTTGATCTTTTTATCAATTTCTGTCACACTAACATCATGACGTCTACGAGATTCTCGAACTTCCTGGAAATAAAATATGAGATTTTCAGCATTCAGGATTATACAAGTTAGATAGAAATTTAATTTATCTACACATATATAAAATTTAGCCATCATAGTAGTCATAGATATAATTATAAACCTCAATCATTCTCTACATGCACAAAAACCTTCCATAATTTATTACAGAAGAGGTGTTATCATATATGAAATATGCTTTTATAAACTTTTATTTCATACAAGCCAAAATTGATGGAAATTTTTTTAAGAAAATTCATTTCGATCAAGGCCACACACACTCACTTAGAGGTGAAAAAGACTCATCTTAAACAATTTTCCCGGGCGAAGAACACACAACAATCGAGTTGCACCACGACTCAACATAAATACAGCATTACAAATATTGTATTCCAAAATTCAATAGGTACTGAATATAGTTCTGACGGCATTAAATTTGAATAGCAACACACACATACAAATTTCAATGAATTATTTTAGAGTATTACAAATATTTCATTCCTCAATTCCATAGAAATTACACATAAATATCAATAAATTATTTTATCATAGAAAACTATGATCACAAAGAATCTACACAAAATCCCAATGTAAATTATGTGATTTTCTACTGAAAAAGCCTACCTCCTTCCACAGCTTCTTTTTAAATTGCAAATCTTCTTGTAGTGATTAAAGTTTGTTTTGATATTCGATTCTTTGCAATGTTTCCGATTCCAGAGCTTTCCTTGTAGTTTCCAATTCCTGGGCCAGGTCATTCACTTTAGCTTTGAAAGAATCTGCAAGATAAATTCAACAGTACTTTGAAATTGAAAAATTGCAAGCCCTTTTCAACATCTGTACATATCAATTGTTCTCTCTGACAAATAATATGCTCAATCAAAGTATAAATCAATAATAAAATTCTTTTGCATTTTTAGACTCTCAATTATCAATTTAATTAGAATAGTGATAATAAATTCATATATACTATGTTCTGAATAATATACATATTATCTTAAATACTTGAATTGTAATATTTGCTATTGCAGAAGCCCAATTGCCTGAGCTTATCAGCGTAACTGCTGTGTTTCATTTGAGCATAAGACTGATTCTGATGATTAAATAATTTAGAAAAAGGAAATTGATGGTTTAACATCCATATTTCCTAATGAACATCTATGACAGTTAGTACTCAGAATATTATGGAATTTACAATAACTAAAAATTTCATATAGTCTGATTTTGTACTGATTTTTTTCTTCTCAACACTATCATATTTAGGAGCTTCAATGCTAAACATACCCAGTTGAGCAACAGCATCATCTCTTTCTTTCAATGCATTTCCAGTTTGTGCTTCTTTGGCTCTCAATCAATCAATCGTTTATTTTGTCATCACAAAAAAACACGTTCAAACATAAAGTGACACAATGAATAAATTACAGTACTAATCATGTTTTTGCGTGACCGGAGTCGCGAGGGACCTAGGAAGGTCTTCAAGCAGCGACACCTACAGCGCTACAGGTTAGAATAAATATATTTAAATGAGGGATAAAATGAATAAATCCTAGGAATAAGTCACAACTGATACAATTACAGCGACATTCGAAATGTATGCGATTATGACACAGTAAAACAGAAAATGTAACTTTCACGGAATAATTACTAACAACTAATAAAAACGCGAGGAAAGCAAGATAAAAGCACAGAAAAAATATAGGAAGGCAAGTTTGGCGGAATATGCAACTAAAAGCATATAAGGCAAACAGTAAATCGAAAATATTTACAGCAAATGCAATTTAGGAGACACTTACGAAAAATTGATAGTCTAATGAGGAATACAAACAAACTATTACATCTATATAATGTACATAATAAAGAGGAAAAGATAAAACGGCCTGGTCATTGAAAATAATAGCGAACGTAGGTTAAGGGCATACTTGCATCTTTCAATTTTCCTTCAAGCACTGAATTATCATGTTCCAACCCATCAGCTCTGGAAAAAATATATAAATGATTTGATAAATTTTATGCCTTTACTTCTATGTAATAATACAATTACTTTATATTTTCCCTTCATATCATTTAATGAAGAAAAATGGTGAATGGTGGTGTAAATTATCTTGGCAAAGAACATTATATTGTAGTAATTGTAACAATAAATTAGTCACTTCCAGGAATTGGCTGGGAAAGACTATAGGCAAGCTGTGCCCCCATTCTAGAATTTGTCAACAAAGCTTCAAACAACACATAGTAAGGCGAGAGCATATTTTGTTCAATGAACATGTTGAAAGTATGTGCACATAATAAAGAAATGTAAATATTCAAAATAATGAGGCGGACAATATTAAATCTAACAAATATTTTTAATAATCTAACCCTCAAAAAATGCCAATAAACTAGGGCTAAATTTTACATTCATTTGTCATTGCGCTAGACAAACTGTTAGTCTTTATTTAAATAAATATATTTTACCTCCATCAATATTTACTCATAAATATATAGTTTAGTAGTTTAAAGTATGCTTATGTCATACAATAAAAAAATATTATATACTATATAAGGTGTTTCGGCGTGGAATAGTTTATTTAGTTTTGTGGGTGTTGATTGGGCTTCAATTCCTAAACGTGGATAGGTTAGCATACCATCCAATTTATAAAATATCTTGTTTAGCGTCATAGGATTGACGCAAATATACGCGATAGTATCGGCAAAACACCAGTGCAACCGGGTGGAAATCGCTTCAATCGAGATAAAATAAAAACACAAATATCTAGAAGCGATCAAATATCCTTCGGCATACACCTAACGTAGCGATGGTAGGCAGCGGGAAAAAGTGGGCAATAATAATAATGAGAAAAAAAGGAAGTGTGTGATAGTACAGATGCTACAGATCTTGCCAACGTTTGTATTACATTTCCTCTCTCGTTTGCCGATTCGACCCAATTACATCGCATTACATTTTACTATGCAACTTATACTAATCCTAACATGATTGTGTAACATGATATACCATACAATATATTTCATTTACACTATACTACACTGGGTACGTGGATGTAATTTGTCCTCAAATTTGATGCTCTCAGATAGAATGGTCAAAGAGCGCAAATTGTCCGGAAGTCTCTTTTACGGTTCAATGCAACAAACAGTTCAAACTTACGCACGACATGACAGTTTTCGCGAGCGATAATAACACGGCAATTTCATCGGTTCACCAGTTTATCGGGTACATCGTGTAATTTAAAGAAATACTGCATAACGCAATGCCTAAAACGCTTGGGTATTATCCCAACGCGGTTGGATGGCGGAATGAGTATTTATGTCATTATACTAGTTATATAACAAATTGGGAGAAAATATAATCTCAATAAATGAGCGCAGACAACGACAGTACTCCCCTATGGAACGCCCACCTTAGACTCAATCAAAAATCGAAGACGTCAAGCGGAAGTCATCGACAAGCCTTACCCTCACGACACATTCTATCCATGATCCATACTTGGACGTGTATAATCATTATTGTTTTGCTTTTTTGGACGCAAGACATATGAGAAAATTGCCCAATAAGAAACTACAAACGGACAAAATGGATGACCGTAGAAAGTTGAATGATATTATTTATATCAATAGAAGTATTTATATTCAAAATCGTGTATATTACAAAAGCGAACCAATAGAAATTCTCCTTCGTGTTTACGACACCAATGACATTAAACAACATGATGCGCAACTCCGGCATTTTTGGCCGAAGATCGTATCCGATAACACGCTCCAATGCACATACTTGACGAGACGAAAACGAGCGGATGTGTGCTGCTTCCATGCATAGCACGAATGGTGTTCGTGTCTGCTTTGACAGTTGTTGTCGATTTTAATGATATTTTGGAAAGTTGAGCTAAAAAGAAATCGGAAAAGGTAAATAATATTGTTGTATATCACATCCAGCATTAACTTTTATTTGCGTATTGAATCAACGGGTTAACAAGTTCACCTAACATTTCACTCATACCGGTCTATATTGTATAGTCTGATCTCTCAAGTATATGAAGCCGCGAATGCCTGTAATTTTTGGACTAAACCCCTTTATTAGTTGGTTTATATACCAAATTCAGTATAACATTTTTTACATTTGACATGAGATATTGGATTTATTAGCTTTTCCATTCTAAATCATATAGACTGCTTTATTTATTCTTGACAAAAATTAATAAATCTCCTCTCTTTCTTCAGATGTGAATTTTGTGGACAAACCTGTTCAAGCATTGTGAGATTCATGCAGCAGGCAATAGCAAAAATCGTAAGTATATCAATCAAGAAATTAAGCCGACATAAAGAAAAATTTTCGTGTAAGCTCAATTTCCCATTATTTATTAACAGGACAACTGTAGCAGAAGGGAAAATGTTCCACACAAATCTTTACACTATCGCGTTTGTAATATTCTCTGATAAAAAAAACGTCTATGATGTCCAGAATTACTCTTTACAGCTAGCTTGTCTGTCATTCCAGCTTTCCAAGTGAGCAAAACTTCTTAGATATAATAATTATTTTCTTTCGTTACAGGCGCAAAAAGGCAGGTACTACACGTAAAGAAGGCGCCAAAAGCGAACGGAAAACGGTCGCGAAAAGCGACGATAACTATGTGCATTGGAGCGTATCATCTCACGAAAGCGAGATTGAATCTGCTCCAGATTTTGCATGTGCATTCATCTTATCTCGGACCAGAAGCCTATTGATTTTGGGCGAATTATGTCGTATAATTAGCGAGTTATCAATCAATTATTGATATAGTGATCTAGATTTTTGTAAAGCGAGAGAATTTTGAAACCCGCCGAGTGTGTGTGTGCGATGCGCAGTGCGCAAGTTACAAGAGCGGATGAATCGAAACTGCAGTTTCTGTTTTGGGGGATCCCCTAACTATCGATCGATAAGTCTTCGGTTTCCAACCGATATTCTCGTTTAATGTCATTGACGACACCGAATAATCTTCCCGCCGAAACGAACACCAGCCACATAGCAATCATGAATGGACGTCTGTGGGCCGTCCTAACTCGACGCCGTTGTCCGGATTGTAGTATAAGTTAATACAATGCAAACACGCATTTGAGTACCTTCGTTTCAAGTACTACTAAGAATAGAAATGATCAATCATAAAAATGTTGTAGATAGATGTGTGACTGTTCCCAGAGCGAGTGAGATGGTAATTTATGGTCGTTTGAATTGCCCATAGAAACCCAATAGTGACGTCATAGCTGTGGCAGAGGCTCCGTGTGTGTTTGAGAGCGAGTATAGCCATCGTGGTTTATTTTTATTTCCCGGAGTGGTGGACGCCTCATGTTCTCTAGTGCCTCTCATGGTGGTCAATGTTAGCAAGGAAGCGGTAGAAATACCTGCGGATTTGCTTATCGGTTTACTATGCCCAAGAGAAAACGTGACTGTCTCTTCACTGGAACAAGTGGTGCCTGGTGATGTCATGGACACCAGGGAACTACCTGAAAATTTTAAGAAGCTTGTCGACGATCCAGAAGCTTTAACGGATGAACAACGTCAAAGTGTTCGTGATTTGCTCGTCGAATTTCAGGATGTTTTTGCTGGTCCTGATGGCAAACTGGGACGAACTTCTGTAGTCAAACATAAGATCAAAACGTCAACATCTGAACCAATCAAAGTTCCACCGCGACGTATGGGATGGGCGAAGAGAGAAATCGCAGAGAAACAAGTACAGAACATGCTTGATCAAGGTGTAATAGAACCAAGTGAAAGTCCCTTTAATTCGCCTATTGTTCTCGTTCCAAGAAAGACGGAAGTTGTCGTTTTTGTATTGATTTTCGGAAAATTAATTTGGTAACCATCAAAGATGCCTAAAGTTTGCCAAGAATTGATGATATTTTGGATGCATTGGGTAAAGCAAAGTGGTTTTCGTCCTTGGACTTGGCGAGTGGGTACTGGCAAGTAAAACTTGACCCAGAAGATCGGGAAAAAACAGCATTCAGCTTGCCAGGGAATAATCATTTTCAATTCCGTGTTCTTGCCTTCGATCTGGCAAATGCGCCATTGTGCTTCCAGCGTTTAATAGACAAAGTTTTGGCTGGAATTCTATAGAAAATTTGCCTTGCATTCTTGGATGATATTTTGCCCTATGGAGAAAACTTTGATCTGGCCATGAGCAGCTTACGTGAAGTTTTTGTAAGAATTCGGGCTGCTGGACTGAAATTCAAGCCAGAGAAGTGTAAATATTTTCGTCGTAAAGTGGATTATTTGGGACATGTAATATCTGAATATGGTGTAAGCTGTAGCGATGGAAAAATTGCTGCTGTTCGTGATTGGCCCAAGCCTACCAATGTCAAGGAATTGCAGTCATTCCTTAGATTTT